CCTCCCTCGCCTGGTCCACCGCGTCCGCCACGTCCCACATGTAGCGGTTACCGTCTACGTACCTGCACGCGTTACATGTGTTTTATACAAATTACATGATTTTTGTACAAGTTACCTACATGTTTTCTGTACAATTTAAAAATTCAGTGATAGCATCAAATTAGATTAAAAATGAAATGACGACATTTCATGAAGTCAAATTTCATTTTGAAAGGAAGTCAAATTTCATGAGCTTTTTCTCCCCTGAGATTAAAAAAAGCCCTAAATTTTCAGGTAACTACCAAATTACGGCCCTAAATTTCAATCTTGCTTCACTGAGTTGACGCAAACAAGAAGTAATTTAACATAGAAACTGATTTTATAGTTGATTACAATTGATTGACAAACTTATCAATTTACAATTACAATTTACAATAAACTTATCAATTTACAATTGATTGAAACTGATTTTACAAACAAAAATTTTTACAATTGTCTGTTAATAATGGAAGATCGAGATTTTGAGGCTATAGGCTTTACAACGCTACAACAACAGCTGTACCCATGGAATTGCATGCACGACTGCGCACACAACACAGCTGTATCCTATACAAGACACACAACCTGTCTCTTATACACATCTAGATGTGTATAAGAGACAGACACTCAATAGTTTACGTATAATTTGCCGCCACGTACGACAACTTTAAAATGTTCTCTGTTGCGTACAAACGTCCTCAGGTTGCTACACTCAATAGTTTACGTATAATTTAAGTTGAAAGTTATGTTCTGGAAGAGTAACATACGGCGGTAGAGGATTAACTCATAATCAGGGTGTGGTGACTCATAGTCAGGGTGCGATGACTCATAGAGTGTGATGACTCATAGAGTGTGATGACTCATAGAGTGTGATGACTCATAGAGTGTGATGACTCATATAGTGAGATGACTCATATAGTGAGATGACTCATATAGTGAGATGACTCATATAGTGAGATGACTCATATAGTGAGATGACTCATATATGACTCACTTCCAGTGTATGGCAGTAAGGTCCGGACGCTTCAAGTATATGTCAGGACTGAGCCACCAGTCCGTGATGAAGACCTCCTCCCTCGCCTGGTCCACCGCGTCCGCCACGTCCCACATGTAGCGGTTACCGTCTACGTACCTGCACGCGTTACATGTGTTTTATACAAATTACATGATTTTTGTACAAGTTACCTACATGTTTTCTGTACAATTTAAAAATTCAGTGATAGCATCAAATTAGATTAAAAATGAAATGACGACATTTCATGAAGTCAAATTTCATTTTGAAAGGAAGTCAAATTTCATGAGCTTTTTCTCCCCTGAGATTAAAAAAAGCCCTAAATTTTCAGGTAACTACCAAATTACGGCCCTAAATTTCAATCTTGCTTCACTGAGTTGACGCAAACAAGAAGTAATTTAACATAGAAACTGATTTTATAGTTGATTACAATTGATTGACAAACTTATCAATTTACAATTACAATTTACAATAAACTTATCAATTTACAATTGATTGAAACTGATTTTACAAACAAAAATTTTTACAATTGTCTGTTAATAATGGAAGATCGAGATTTTGAGGCTATAGGCTTTACAACGCTACAACAACAGCTGTACCCATGGAATTGCATGCACGACTGCGCACACAACACAGCTGTATCCTATACAAGACACACAACACAGCTGTATTCTACACAAAACAACACAGCACAGCTGTATTCTACACAAGGCAAACAACACAGCTGTATGCTACACAACACAACACAGCTGTATGCTACACAAGACAACACAGCAGCTGTATTTTACACAAGGCACACAACACAGCTGTATTCTACACAAGGCACACAGCACAGCTGTATTCTACACAAGACACACAGCACAGCTGTATTCTACACAAGGCAAACAACACAGCTGTATGCTACACAAGACAACACAGCACAGCTGTATTCTACACGTGGCACACAACACAGCTGTATGCTACACAACACAACACAGCTGTATGCTACACAAGACACACAACACAGCTGTATGCTACACACAACACAACACAGCTGTATTCTACACAACACAGGCTCACCAGTTAGCCAGGGCGCCGTGGCGCTGAGGAGCGAAGGCCTCGTGCTTGTTGGCGCCTGAGCAGAAGTCCCGAGCTGAGGGATACCATCACGCTCAATTGTACATCATAACAGTTAAAATCCGCATACATTTCAATTTTAATCAATAACTAAAACCAATGCTGGTCATATAAGGTACATTGTAAAGGCTAAATGTATGGTCTAGTTCAATGAAAAGCTTGCAGGTTTCTCCATACATATTTAATATACCAGAACATTCTAGTGTTCGTATGGTTTCGTAACTACACGTAACTGTTCTATGTGAATATCACCGTACAGTCGCTGCGCTCACCGCACAGTCGCTGTGCTCACCGTACAGTCGCTGCGCTCACCGTACAGTCGCTGCGCTTACCGTACAGTCGCTGCGCTCACCGTACAGTCGCTGTGCTCACCGTACAGTCGCTGTGCTCACCGTACAGTCGCTGTGCTCACCGTACAGTCGCTGTGCTCACCGTACAGTC